TGTGGAAATGGATAAAAAACAACTGTGCCTATTTGCTTGTTGTTGAAATAGCTGGGCTTTGGTTTTGCTTTTCATAGTAAAACTTGCAAGTGTATCAACCTGGTTTATGCTTTATGGAGTCAGTGATGCGTTTTATGATAGGACATATCAAATCTTCACCCTCACTTTCATGAATTTATGTATGGGCAAAATATAAGCTGTTGGTCAATTGACCCAGTATATAACTTGCTCTAGACAATGTTACTGGTTTTGGTACTGTTCAGATATATGTGATTGTGAATTTTATGTCACTCCCATTAACAGAGGACAGCATGGCCCTTCTAATTACAGAAAATGGTTCCCGTTGCTACATATTTATAACTGCTTATTTCAGAATTTTGTTTTTTAAACTCTTGCATACTAGTCTTAGCAGAATCAGTCAGTGGCTTTGGGTCATGTTTGCTTTATGGGTTAGTACAGAAAATAGGGAAAAATCTTAGGGAGTCTATACCTAACTCTAATCAGATGTATTGGTGCTATATGACATTATTAATGAAATGTTCCTTCTCTCAGCCAGCAGAGTGCAGTGCTTCCTTTTTAGACAGTTTCTGGAGTGGAATGAAGGGTCCTAATCTTTGGGATTTTGATAGCAGTCAAGAAAAAGAATTACTTGTTTTTATATATGTGTGTGTGTGCGCGCATGAGAGGGTGCTTACAGTGCATTTTGAGTGCATTGTACATTTTTATGTTGTTCTGAGCTCTCTAAAAAGAAAAAAATGGCATGTAATGTCTGTTCAGTGTTTTGCAGCCACATTGGCTCTTAACAAGTAATCTCACCTCAAACTAATTTACTTTTGTTAACAAGAGGAATCAGTTGTATGTGTTTATGAACACTTCCCTCCTATAGTAGTTTCAAGCACCTGAGGAGGAAAGACAAACTATTCACAGGTGATGGAAGTAGCCATTTTCTTAAGCAAAACTTTGCTGTATTGCAGTACTATGTTAACTGCTTACTTCGAGTGTTGTTATATCTACTGTAACGGGCAAAGAATGAAAGAAACAAACTAGGAACTAGATGAGTTATAAAGACTTCTTGTATTTTACCAGGATGCCTGCAGATGTTAAGAAGAAGAGAGAATGAAAACACAAAGAGCTTAGGAGTTGTATAATAACCAAATCTGTTGTCTTTAAGTTTTTACTTGGATAGTAATTTTAATTTGAGTACATACTGGAGTTGGTTGTTGGTTTTTTTTGTGGTTTTGGATTTTTTTAAATTTCACTTTGGCACTTAGCTAAAGTATTTTTAAGGGATTGATTTAGTTTGAGCTTTTACATTTATTTTGGTGTTTAATACAAGCAATTTATCACTTGAAACAGTAGACTTAAAACTTCTTTTCAGAAAATATAATTATATGAAATCTGTGTTCAGTGCAAGTATGATACTACATGATGTTTAACCTAAAATAAGATTTCTTTTAGCTATGGTGTGAAGCCTTTTTACAAGTAACTTTACTGTGTAAGTTTGGGATGCTTTAACATATATTTAGAAAAGTGAATAACTCTTCATTCTTTAATTTGTAGGCGCTTAAAAGTAGCGCTCAATTTTATTTCAAGTTGTAAGTCAGAAAAATCACCTATCATCAACAGTTGCTGCCACCTCAAAATGTAAACTTGATGTTTTACTTTTTCTTTGAACTGCTATAAGCATTGGCATTTCATATCAGTAGCATACATGTGCTCTTTTAAAATCAAATTATGAGAGCTAATGTTTATATTCAAAATCTGTTTTTATGGGGAAATATTAATTAAAGCCCATACAAGGAAATCTTAACTGGATATGTTATGAATTTATCTGCTGTATTTAATTCTCTTGTTGCTTCATGTCATTAAATGTTCTAGGGGTAGGGGAACACTCTGGTTTTGTTTCTGTGATGAGTATTCTGAATATCCTGTAAGATCAGTCTTGCTGTTCTCAGGCAGATAGAATTCTCTTTCTTCTTGGGGTTTTTGGTGTAGTTTTTTTGGTTTTTTGCTTGGTAGGAATTTAATGCTATGTTTTGTTATTCTAAAGGTTTTTTTTTAGCTATGGTTCACTTTATAGGAAGAAGATCATTACTCTGCCTCTAGGTAAAATTTTATGTAAAACTTAATGAGATTCATCTTTATGGCTAAATACCTTATGAATAATTTAAAATTTTCCCTGCCCTACTGTGCTTGGTTTTTCTCTTCATGTTGCAGTTGATGCATCTGTTAGTCACTCTTATGCCTTTGGGAGATGTGCTGGAAAACTTCCAAAAGTTGTCCTGTGCTTTGTTTTTTTCCTTGCCTTCCTTTATCATGTGGGAGACCTCTGGTCTGAAAATGGTGCCTTCCTATTTTCTTTTTCCATTCAGCTTTCATAAAATACTTCTGGTTCTCATCTGGGTTCTTTATTCTTCAGCTCATCAGCCTCCTGGAGTCTGCAGCTTCTTTGTTATTTGTCTTTGTAGCGAGAGTAGCGACCTCCTTTTAGCCATTTCAGAAATGCATTCCAGCTATAGAAAGCAAAACTTCTCTCTACTTTGTCCTTTGGATTTATTACTAATATCGACACCAAACTGACTTGTCAGGAAATGGAATAAAAATTTGAAAACAGAATGTAGGTTTAAATTAATTGAAATTCTTTTGGTTTTGGCTACAAATGTCAATTGATTCCAGAAGATGCTTATCTTTTATTGCACTCAAGGCTTAGGAAAGTCAATGAGTGCAGCAAGCTGAAGCTGTGCTGGATGCAGCTGGAGGGCTGGGATGTTCTCTGCAGTCGACTGTCTGAAAGTTGCTACTACTATTGTCTGCTGGCTTCATTCATCTCTGGTGTACTTGAGGAATGCTACCAGAAGGGATGCTCCACTTCTGCTGATTCTCTTTAAGAGGAGCTAGTGGCTGTGTCCTTACCTGATGGAGGACCAACTCTCAGTAAAAGAAGTCTCATCAGCTTATTAAACTGTGCAGCCTTAGAGCTATTACTGCCCTGATCTGCTGTAACTGCCTGAGCCACAGCAGAACCAGTAGTCATAAAAAAATGAGTGGAAATGGAGAAGCAAGGAAAGGTAGAGAAGTGGGCAGTGGCAGATCTTGGTGTTTAGTACACCTTTTTATTCATTATTTTAACATTCCAATATCCTTTGACTACTTATGTTGCTGCTGAAAGGAAGTTGTGACTGAGGAAGGAGGAACAGGGAGATGCAGGAGAAGGGACAGGATATTAGGTATGATAAAAGCTTTGGTTATTGGTCTGTGTTTGCTGGGTATAGTACTATTCTTTGCTTCAGGCCCTCTTTTTATTAGGCCTGTTGCTGACTTCTACTCCTTTGGTCAACAGAAACATAAGCCATCAGAGACTGAATTCTAAGATCCTTGCATGGGGAGTGTGAACCAGGCATTCAGACTGCTTGTTTGTCTTAGTGCTTTAGGCAGCTTAACGAGCTTCAGTTCTGACGTAGGGATGGGGGATAGGAGAGTAGTTGGACATGAGAGTAACTCCAGGGTTTTCTCCTGTGTATTCCATGCTTGATGTTCAGCCTGCCATGCAGGCTCCTGGTCGTAGTCTTGGCGTGTCAGGATGTGAAGAGGAGTTCAGAGATCTTGAGAATGAATTGCATTTTGCAATGAGTTCATGTGGAATACAGTCTACTTTTGGGTCAAGTCCAGAAAACATTTCTATAGGCAAATGGATTCAAATCCTACTTTGTGCATTTTTGCTTTAGGATTGAGGGAAATCAACAAGAACAATGCTGAAGGGAGTGTCCCTTGCTCTGCCCTGTGGTGGACTGTCCTTTCTTCCCTTGTTTCAGTTCCAGTGCTCACAAATCAACTTGTAAACCCAGCAAAAGACAAGAAACTTTTTTCTATTAATTGCTTTTCTTCCGTTTTGATTAGTTGAATTCTTTTGCTGTAAAGAGAGGTGTGGTAGGACTTGTTCAAAGTGGTAAGTTCAAAGTGTGTGCAGTTAGGATTGTAGAGTTGGAAAAGAAAAAAGGGGCACAGCACAAAGCTATTCAGTCAACTTAAGCTGTAACACAAAATCACACCCTTAGTCTAGTCAAAGTGAGTTATGTCACATTAGCCTATTGTGTAATAACATCACAAATAGTTTCTGTTTTTCTCTACAAAATGATCATGATATTAAGAAAAAAAAATCAGTTTTTTTGACAGCATCACAGAAACTATTTTTTGTCCATGTGAATATTATATAATGGTTAGAAAATGGGAACAGTGAGTTTCCTCTAATACTTGTGATATATATGGAGGAGCTTGTACTATTAAACTTTAGGAAAGCAACCTAGTTAGCCAAGTTAGGAGTTTACACTGCATTTCAGTACCAATGAAGATTGAAGGCTTCTAAATAGATGCTCTGAATAGTACTACAGAGCTCTGTTAACTGGAGTGTTAACCTCAAATTAAAAAGAACAAATATGTCATAAACCATTAAAATCCTAGTCCTGTCATAGAGCAAATTCTTCTTCCCTTTCCCACTCCTGGGAGTTATATTTGATATAGTTTTAGTTTAGTGTTTAGTTTTTAGAATTTCTGGCTTGCAGGTTGTTTTCTGTTTGTAGAATCATAAAATGTTTTGGGTTTATGATGACCATAACACAGTTAGCCCTGTGAAAGCAAACTGTGACTGTCTTTTGCAATAACTGTAAATCGGTTTAGGAACCTTTAATGGAAGGCACGAGCACAATTCGACAAGAAGGAATAAATCACTCTAAAATACTTGAGAAGGTAATTGTGTCAAATAGACAAATAGACATTGCAGTACTTTTCTACTTTTAATAAAGATGCTCAAGGACTAAAATTTCTCTGTAATGGTGCTATGCGTTTGTGTCTGTATAGTGTGTGTGTGTGTGTGTGTATATATATATATGCATGTATATATATATCTATAGTGTATGCATATATATGGATCACACACAGCATAGGTGCAATGTATGTAAATACATATCTCTATAAATAAATAAAAATTTATTTTTAACTTCTAGGTTAGTCCATTACCATGTCACTCAGCAGATCCCTACTCATGTGGAAGATTTTGTGGGCGGCTTCTTGATTGTCAGAATCACACCTGTAAGAAAGAATGTCATCACGTTACTAGATTGAACAGCAGTACAGGTGGAAATGAGGTAGATTGATTTCTGGTTTGCCTTTGTTTTTGTGTATTTTGTACATTGTCATGTTTTAACTGGAAAGTAAAGAATTAGCGGCTGGAAGGCACAGCTTCTCTTCCAGACTCCACTGTAAGACTTGCATGTGTTCTGTTCTCATTGATGCTGTGGCATTTAGCTAATCTTTAGACTATAAAACTAAAACAATATTATGTATCTTGAAAATACTACACTTTCTTGTTTTATGTTAACATACATTACTTTGTTTTCATCAAAACCTTACTTAACACTTTTGACAAGTCTCTTCTAAAGTCAGGTTTTTTTAACTATCAAGTCAAGATAGTTAAGATCAAGTGAACTCCTGATAATCCCTACTTACAGATGCACCTGTAATCAGTTGGGGAAACTATTTACTGAGGAGGGTTGTAAATGGGTTGAGGAGGCTAGCACATCTTTAGGAGAGAGCACTAGAATGCTGCAGAATAGGTGAAGACTTCTTAAAGCACTGGGGTGATACACTCACGTTTATCAGTGTCTACTAGAAACTCATTTATGCGATTAAGAAGCTGTAGGTGTTAGCTGCTGGGGATAATATGAAACAAAAATAAACAAACTACAAAGCTGAAAATTGTTCTAGTTTTTAGCAGTCAAAAGCAAATAGCTTGTGGTTTGAGAGAGTAATGATTTGGAAGAAAACAACTTTTTAAGTTTTCAAAGCATTACTTTTTCTAAAGTTGAAACATGGTGGGTATCTCTGGGCATTTAGAAAACTGAGCGAGCATTCAGTTGGGCACAAAAAATAAATGTTATATTTTAACTTACTGTTATACTTAAATAAGATGTGGATTCCATTCCTAGAAGTGGTGGTGTTGTCTAATAACTGTATTACTCTATTAATGATTGTGGAACTTTTGTCTGGGCCTATGAGCTGTTAGTGCAACTTGTGGAACAGTAACTTGCAGTAAATAGTCATTTACATCATTAAATACTGAGAGTGACAGTTGTTTAAGCATCTGCAATTATGACTATAAGAGACTGTCTGCCTACTCCTTCAGTTAAACCAATTAAAATGTGAATGGGTCCAGGTTATTCCTAGTTCCTTTTTGAATGAAGCAGTACATTCTCAGAAGACAAGAGTCTGTGTACATGTAAAGTATGGTAACTCTCCTTTCTCAATTTTCTTTGAATTTCTATAAACTCAAGTTGGTTTTGACCTTTAGAGCTTTTGTTCTGTTATTTTGATAGATGAAACTGCAGGTGTAGTCAGAAAGGGGCTGATTAAATTTCTTGCGTGTATGTCTGAGTAGTGATTTTTTTCTGTCTGGAATTTAGGTTCATTCTGCATGTTGTGTTAGAAAACGTTGCACAGTGGCCAGCTGTTTGCTTTTACCTACTGTTAAATTTTATATCACGGTTTTATAAATGCTTTCAATTGCTATTGTCTGTCTTAGATGTGAATTTTGGGGGGTTATGTTTTATAAACTATCATTGTAGAAAGGTTCCCTTTTAAACTTCAGCAAAAATTCTTCAACTGTAGAAGAAGAAGAAAGGGGGTCAGTGCGAAAACTATTGAAAACGGTATTAAAATTGTAAATTCTTATGCCCTTATTTTGAACAGCATGAAGTGAAACATTGGCATGGAATTAGTCCCTTGGGAAAGCATTGTGTAGCTTTGTTCTTGGATAAATTTGCTTTACTTTGACTGTGTTCTGTGAAACTGAACATTTGAATGTGATGGTGGGCCTTAAATACTGTGCTGTGTAGGTTCAGTTGATAAATCATGTCAGTCTGTCTGTGTGTATTTGCAGACTAGGGTTCTGGATGAGTTTTTGAGATGAGAATAAGAATAGAAATTTACTGTGCTGATGTTCACGTTGTGTTTATGCTGATCATGTCAGCTGGGATGAGACCACAGCTCTTGTAGACTTTGTGTAATATATGAAGCGGAAGCAACACCTTAGCAGCTCCTGGCGTATAGTTCAGCTAATACTCTTTGGAAGATTATACAAGCTATTACACATATGGAAATGGAATGACTAAAAGTTTGCTTCTTAAAATCAAGCAAACAAATCTCCCCAGACCGTTATTCTAGCACAGTATGTCATGACTACAGTATTACAATAACATGGTGGGTGGGAAAAATTAGTTCTGAATATAAAATTGCTTCTTTTTCTAACAGTTTTCCATAGAGAATTAACAGGCTTAATGGCAAATTTCCAAAGCACTAATATTAAGTGGTCCTTTTGTGCCTAGGAAGCAAAATAGAATTCTGTCTCTTTGACTGAAAAATGCTGACATTTCTGGTTTTTTTAAAGCATATTTTAATACTTATTTTTGCTTGAGGGATATCTTACTGAATAGCTGGATTCCCTTAGCAAAAACACCCCAACTCTTTCTTCTATATAAAAGCTTGTTTAATGGCATCTAACAAACAAATGTTTGGCACTTTCTTGAGTACTCTGTTTTTATTTTGTTAGGCAGGTCCAGAATGTTTGCAGTGTGAAGAGGAGTGTTCCAAGCCCCGACCATCTGGCTGTCCTCACCGATGTGTTTTGCCTTGTCATCCTGGGGATTGCCCATCATGTCTCCAGATGCTTAAAATAAAGTGTCACTGCAAACTATCAATACTGTATATTGAATGCTTGTAAGTGTCAGAACTGAACTCAGCTTTTCACTTTAATGCTAATAACTGGAAACCATTTGAAATGTTTGAGGATGGGAGCTACTTTTACGGCAAGTTATAAAATTCCTTTTGAAAGTTGTAATTTATAATATAATGCTTTTTCTTCTATTTAAAATTTGCCAGTGTTTTATTTGGTGTTACTGCTAAAATTATTATAAAGGCATGGAGTCTCATGAGCAGAACTGGTTTCTGTAATACAGTAATATTTTGAATTATGCAAATATAATCTACATAATGTTTGATCTATATGTGGCTCTTTAACAGTATGTAAAGAAGAGTCTTATAACAAGAATTAGAAGTAATGTAGTTAGTGTAAAAGGTCTTTGCTACTAATGTCCTTCAAACTCTGTTTTAATTGGAAAACTTAGTAATAATTTGTACTCCTTTTTAATAATTTGTTTGTGTGTACGGATAGAGAGGGTAAGCTAGGATTTAAGCAGTCTTCTCTGAAAGCATTCGTCCCATGCATGTATGTTCTTCTTAGTGCATTTTCTTTAAAGTATCTCAAATCCTCTAAATTTATGTGGCTTTTGTCTGTAAAATAGTGTAGTTTGTGTTAGTCCCGCAGGAAGTGGGGAAAATGAGCCCACTTTTCTTTACAGTGAGATATACTTAAAATATAACCCTAATTGTATTGACTGTCATTGTTTTTCATTTGTATCACAAATACATCTTTTCTTTTACAGAAAGCTAACGTGTGCTGATTCAAAAGAAAAGGAGCTTCTTATTTCATGCAAAAATCAGTGTCCAAAAGAGGTAAACCATATTAACAGAAGTACTTGATTTGATGGATGTGTGGCATTTTGTGGATTTTACTTCTTTGTAAAATTTTTGCTTTAGTTTCATAGGCCAAGCAAACTACAGAAGCTTAGTCTAAATTATGAATGTGAAGGTGGTTAGTGAACTGTGTGCAGAGTACAGTTATTAATGTCTTGCTGTCAAATTGGAAGGTTATATTGAAGGATCAGAGATTTGTCTCCAAGGCATTAATGGCTTTAATGTTAAAGCATGGAGATGTAGTTGAATTTGGAAGAGTATGCCTCTAATGTTAAAAACTGGTCTTGAATTTATATCCCCAAAATAATGGGATGCTGTTTGATAAGGAAAAATACTGAGATTTGTGCTTGTGATTGTTTTTGTCTAAGTGCAGGTCTAGTAATCCCTGTCTGTGCAACAATTCTGGAAGAGGGGGGAAAAGGATTTCACACTCAACAAGTGAGATGAGTTAATAATGCCCTGCTGTGTTAGTGAAATATATGTTAAGTAGTGTGAAGTAGAAGACAAGCCAGTTAATCTTGCTACTATATCTGGATATATATAAAGGGTTGCTGTAAAGAATAGAAGAATAATATCCTTACTTCATGAAGCTTAGACTATGAACCAGTGTATATAGGCATCAGTAAGGAAGGTTCATGTTAAATACTACTTTTGAGTAGTAAAGGTTGTGGAGCAGGGGAAGAATTGGTTGGAGAAGCTACCGAATTTTTATCAGTAACAGCTTAGGCACGTATCAGGATTTGTCCAGTTGTGGACAGTACTGCTGTAAGACATTGAGGGATGGGCTAAATGACATCTTCATTCTTCCTTCTAGTGCTGTTATGTGCTGCTTATGTGCTTTCAGAAATCCATGTGTTACATATTATTCTATCTTTGTTCTTTAGTTGTCATTAATTGTGGTGAGTGACAGCTCTTTCTTCACTCCATTCCCCACTGCTGAATTCTGGATGAAAATTTCTGAAGTCGAAAAACAGCAATAGTCAGGAGTACTTTGGAAAGTGTTTTCACTGCAAAACTGTCCAGAATTGCCTAGAAATTCTCCTTCCCCGCAATAAAAATGCTTGTACTAAAGAAAGTATTTTATTCTATATTCACTTGTCGTTTTGTTGTTGTGATTTGGCGTTTTACTGTGTAGCTGAGTCGTTGTCTCATGCAGTATTTAGCTGGCACTCATAAATAGTCTGATTCAACCCATTCTTGTTCCCTGATTCCACTCAATTCCTTTATATTGGTTTACCTGTGATGTTCTTTAGTCTGAGATTTCTGTCTTACCTCATCTCTTGTAGTTCTGAATTCTGCCTCAACCTAATAAACGTTGATTGAAAACTTTTCGTTTCATTATTTTTCAGTGTCAGAAGCATCAAACTTGAATTCTTGCTTTAATTAGAAAACTTCTTTTGGTTTTGAATTAATGCAGAATTTCACAGGATTCCTGCTTGTTTCCCAGCAGTCTCTCTTCCTCTGTTTTTAAGACAAGGTTGTGTCAACCCCAACAGGAAAGCTGTGCTCTGTGCTGGGTGCCTGTTTATGTCTTCTGATTTTTGCCCTTGTAAATGCCTTTCAGATGTCTTTTTTCTGTAAATGAATGTTCCTGTCACAGTTTTCTGATCTGGATGTCTGAAAGCTCTCTTCCTGGCGGGGAAACACTTTTGGATATTATTTCATTGACCATTTACCTCTCAATTTGGTCCTTTCATTTCTCTCTCTCTTACTTTGGTTTTATTTGCTCGAAGACTTCCTCCTCTTTATTTTCAAGAGTTCTCTTAACATGAACTATATGTTCCTGTACTTCAGCTTCTCTTCAAAGATTTTTTTTCCCATATCTTATCTGTGACTCTGATTAATGTAACTGTTGTGATTTTTCTGGACAAATTCCCAAGACTCTGGATTTCCCAAGATTATAGGATTTAAAATCCATCTAGCTGTGGTCCTGAATTCTAGCTTGCAGTTCAGAACTGCCCTTTTCTGCAAATCATGTCTTTTTTACTTAATTCAGTGGGATGTGAAAGCTTAGGATGAGAGTCCACTTTAGTTCTAGGAAGCTTTTATTTAACTCTCAAATTCTCATTCAGAAGAGAATACTACTCATATAGATGCCTTGAAAAACAAGGTATCATGCAGCTTTTGCTATCCAAAGACTCTTTTCAGTGTAATTGATAATGTACAAATGCATGCTCTTCCCTTCTGGTGATTGTAGCTCTAGCTTTTGCTGGCTTTCATGAATCATCAAAGTATTAGTGCAGTCCTGTTTCAGGCGGTTCATATCTTTGTGTTACAGTTCATTCTACTTTTCTCAGATCCTGTTCTGGTAAATTCATATATACTGTATACTAGGGACATTTTTTTTCTGTTTTATAAGCATACCATATTTGTCTGCAACTTTGAGGCAATTGGCTAGTCGTATCATAATACTGGTAATTCCCTTTTAAAGGAAACATTGATAAACACAATTTGGAGGAGCAGCCTTAATAGACATCACCCTGCCACTGCCACCACCCCTCCCTAGCAAATACAGATCAAGCCCACTGAGGAGACCTCATGACAAGAACTTGCAAACAACTTGGCTAAAAGATAAGATGAATAAGACTACTGAATTTATAAGATTTAGTTTAGAAATCAAATATGTCTGCTCAAAACTAAATCGGAAATATTTTGTGTGTACTCCTGACAGCTTGAAATAAATTTCAAATCAGTGTTTTATGAGAATTTTCTTATTCAGTGTTAAAGCTGACCTTGGGTCATTAGCAGAGCTCAGTGAAGTTGCCGTTTGCTAAAAATCAGTGTGCACTGACCTTAGCATAGCGCAACTTAGGTTCACTAGAATATGATATACAGGTAGCATGGTACATTTGGGGATTATGACAATCAATTATATTGTTTGGTGCCTTGAAAAAAATAGAACAGGAACTTGCTTTTGTTTTGGCAATGTCAGTATAAAACTATAAAAATTACTTCTACTATTATATGGTATAGCTCACATTTCCTTTCTGCTTTAAGGAGGAGCGGTCTTTGATATTGCTACAGCTGTTGGATGAGAAGCTTTAATTAAAAAGTTCTTTTTCTTGTTTGGTAGCAATAACAAAATATTCTGTTGAAGGAAATTTAATTTTTTAATCAGAGGTGATTAAGTTTTTATGATCATGTTTGCAGATGTTTTGGGAGAATTCTTACATAGAAGTTTTAACAGTCCATCAGTTTTCATTGTTTATGTGTTCATATCGATATTTGTGTATCTGTGCTTTAACACTTTATCCTGTGTAATTAGTATATTTTGACAAAATAACCTTACTTTGGAGTTGTACTATGCACTCTGCTACTGTCTTGATGTGAAATGTGGGAGCCCGTTCTGATAAATTTATTTTAACATGATAGTGCAGTAGAGACAATGTCATAAATTTTAAGAGTATATGAATCTTTTTTTTTTTAATCAATGAATTTTTATTCCAGAATGCTTAATTAAATACTGTAAACACACCTTGAAAATGTATGTGGGTTGCAAAGATTTAATTTTAAAAGGCAAATGCACGGCTTTGGTCCATAATGAGAGGATTTTAGTCAATGTCTGGCTCAAGCAGTGAAAGTTTTCATAAGATCTCTGGAAGCAGAGCTACCCTTTAAACTTAAAAGTCTGCTCCTTTGGAAGTGATAAACTTACCTTACTTACCTACTTTCTTACTTACCTAAACTTAGCTTTTGGGATTGCTGCTAAAAAGTACTATTTTTTTAATTATCAGGTCTGTATTATCAGGATGCATTTACTACCTTCTGGTGGAGATCAGTTAAGCCTCAGTAAATGTTGATGGTTTTTGTCATCATCAAACATAATGTTAAGATTTAAATGCATTGCCTAAGAGGAAAATGCTTGTAGGATTTTTTTGTTTTGTTTTCAGAGCTGTGGATTTAATCCATTTTTTTTAAAGACCTTGCTGTGTCAAACACAGAATCACAGGATATTAGGAGTTGGAAGGGACCTCAAAAGATCATCCAGTCCAATCCCCCTGCCAGAGCAGGATCACCTAGACTAGGTCACACAGGAACGCGTCCAGGCGGGTCTTGAATCTCTCCAGAGGAGGAAACTCCACAACCTCTCCTGGGCAGCCTGTTCCAGTGCTCTGTCACCCTCACAGTGAAGAAGTTTTTCCTTATGTTCAGGTTGAACCTCCTGTGCTCCAGCTTGCTCCCATTTCCCCTTGTCCTATCATTTGACATCAGAGAGAAGAGGCTGGCTCCTTCCTCCTGACACTTGCCCTTTACAAATCTATAAACATGAATGATGTCACCCGTCAGTCTCCTCTTCTCCAGCTCCCTCAGCTGCTCCTCATAAGGGAGATGCTCCACTCCCTCAATCATCTTTGTGGCTCTGTGCTGGACTCTTTCAAGCAATTCTCTGTCCTTCTTGAACTGAGGGGCCTAGAACTGAACACAATGTTCCAGATGTGGTCTCACGAGGACAGAGTAGAGGGGAAGGAGAACCTCTCTCGACCTACTAACAACACCCCTTCTGATACACCCCAGGATGCCATTGGCCTTCTTGGCTGCAAGGGTACATTGCTGACTCATGGTCATCCTGCTGTCCACCAACACCCCCAGGTCCCTTTCGCCTGTGCTACTCCCCAACAGGTCAGTCCCCAACCTATACTGGTACTTGGGGTTGTTCTTCCCCAGATGCAAGACCCTACTTGCCCTTGTTGAATTTCATTAAATTTCTCCCCGCCCAACTCTCCAGCCTGTCCAGGTCTCTCTGAATGGCAGCACAGCCTCTGGAGTGTCAGACACTCCTCCCAGTTTTGTGTCTTCAGCAAACTTGCTGGCAGTGCACTCTGTTCTCTCATCCAAGTCATTGATGAATATATTGAATAGTACTGGTCCCAGTACTGACCCCTGGGGGATCCCAGGCCTCCAACTGGACTCTGTCCTATCGATCACAACTTTCTGACTTCTTTCCTTCAACCAGTTCACAATCCATCTCACTACCCCATCATCTAGACTGCACTTCCTCAGTTTAGCTGCGAGGATGCTATGGGAGACAGTGTCAAAAACACAAAGCCTGTCCAGAGTTATTGACAAGAGATCTTGTATGGTGAAAAAGATCTGAAGGGGCACACGCTTTCTGTTTTAGCACCAAGTAGCTCAGCATGGATGCTTGAAAACAAGCAGAAAAAATCTTTCCAATTACATTATTTATCCAGCAGAAGCAGTGGTAGGATTGCTTTTGTCTTCTGAGATCATGGGGAAATGTTGCTTTGCCACTCGTTTCACTGCTCCTCTTGATTTTTTAAAATGTTTTTGAATTGGAGAGAGTAAAAAAACAACAAAAAAAGAAAAGTTAAACTTCCAGCTTCACTCTTGTCCTGCAGCCCTGTGGATGTGAACGGTGTAGCTCTATGCAGAGAACTAAATGTGTAAATTTTGCTATCTGTATTGGATAATACATATTTCTGTGCTTTGCAAATTGTGCCCTAATGGCATGTAATGTAAGAATGTTATTTCAGTACCACCTGGAGGTTCAGGTGAGGGTTACTGTCTTGAATTCACAGCTCGTACTTGTCAGTGATGAGACTGTTTGGGCTTTGACACTATTAATTTAAATGTGTCTAATTACTGGAAGAGCAAGCTGGAAGTAATAGTTCTAGCCATGGGTTGGTCAGCATGGGATGACTTGCAGGTGAGACTAGATCCTGTTATTGGGTATGATGCTTTTGGGTAAGGAAATTGGTTTTGTACAGATTGTTGTCACTAGTGAGCAGATTCAGACATGGTCCTGGCTGGTAGTCTGACCTTAGTAGCATACAAAGCTTAAAGACAATTTTCTCCTCTCACCTTTTCAAAAGAGGGAAAATGCAAGACAGATTTGCTGATGATCCTGAACAAACCTGAATTCCTTCTTTGATAAGATGACCAATTTGTATTTTTTTCTTCCAGATAAAGCAAATAGATTTGATCTGCTACATAAGGCTTCAGCAGAGCAATTGAGTCAATGCCACTTAGAGAATATCCAGTTCAGGTTCAGAGAAGGGGTAAAAGAAGGATGACGGTGGGCTAAGGAAGCAACTGCTTGTATTTTATTAATTTTTTTTAATATCCTCCCCCCTCCAAACAAAAACAAAACCAAAAAAAGCCAAAAATAAACACAAAAAAATCCAAAACACCCCAACAACAACAGAACTAAGTGAAAAGTTGGAGCAAGAGATGTTAACAGTAAGGAAATTTTCCCAAGGACTGGATTGGCGCCTGACCTTGCATTGTTTTCAGTAACGACCTCGGTACCAGAAAACATTGGAATTTTCTAATGAAAATTTGTGGAGTGTTGTCAGTAGATGACAACTAAGGAAATGCATCTGCAGAGCACATGTATTTGGGGCATGTTATTAGATACACAAAAAACAGTAAGACCTTGCATGTCAAAGCTAATAATAAGCTTCCAGGAAACAGCAGAAATTGTTATTGTCACAGCACGATTAGCTGGAGAGAAATGCAAATGAGAGCTGAAGATGTGTTGGGGAAGATATTCTATTAAGAATAAGGTTCAATTAAGGCATTGTACAAAGTCATTCCTG